ACGAAGTGATTGCCTAATGTACATATTTACTGCGTACCTCATTCTACAGTCTCTCGGTGAGTTTGCTCGACATGTGCGATTGCCAACACCACTATGGTAAGCTTTCAACACTTTCATCAATAGAAAATTGCATTTAAACAAACATTTTGGCCGGATGACTAGAAGGAAGTGGTAATAAAAGGAAGGATAGTCAAAGTTTCAATGCTAATATACGTCGGAAACCACACATAATTTTCCGAGATTCCTCATTTTATTATCCCGTGACTGGCAAAGCCAACAAAATAGGGGCGTGGTCTCCGCACAACTCCCGCTTTCTAAGACAACTCCATAATGCAGGGTGGTTGCATGCAATGTCAAATGTCAAAGTGATGTCTGTGGGTACAACGCTGTTGTGGTGAGAAAATAAAAACCAACTAAGTAAAATGTTGGTCTATCATTTTGGTCAAATTTGAAAATTAGTGTCTAGAGTACCTCCAGTCAAGTCCCTTTTGCATATTTCGGGCTTAGCCCCAATTGCCAACTTTGAAACTGCTGTTGTAGGCTAGGGCGGTAGGTAAAACTCATGGCATATCCAATTCTGGCTTAAGACCTAGTATACGCACTAGGCAGAAAGTAGATTAAACCTGATTCTGGACTCTTGACCGAAAGAAGTGTTGGGACGTCGAGTAAAGCGGCTAATAGGGAACGGTGAAGGGGAGATTGGGGTAGATGCCAAACCAGCCCACCAGAATTTGGATCCCACGCTAGGCACCCATACCGCACAAGTCGCTTAATTGCAGCGCGAGTTGCAAAATTAAACCAATGATCTTTAGCGTTCCTTTGGGTTGCTAAAATCTTGGTAAATTATTTCGAATTCTGTTGATGAATGGCCTTCATTTGTTAAAAGCTATTCTGAAAAAACCTGTTTTTATAGATTTACATATAATTATTCGCTTTACTCACTGTTTAACGTTGCTGGATGAGGTCAAGAAAATTCTAAAGTGTGAGTGAATTCTAAAACGTTTATGAGAGGGTGTTTATTCGAAACGGCATTAAACTCGCAGGACGAAAATTCAGCGATATTTGGAACTTGGAGACACTGCCAACAAGTGGCAGATCGTAAGACGTCAGAACTCTATTCTGCAAACGGAAATTTGATTTGGAGATAAGCTAAGATTTAATTTTGTCATTGGCAAACGGGCTGCAATATTGGTTGTAAAGTTTTATTTTGTCTTTAGACTTTTTAAAAGCTGCTGGAAACTTTATTCAGAATAGTACTACTAATGTTTGATCGGCAAGTAATGCCATAGGAAATAACGAAATTACAGTGCATGGCCTATCTGATGAAATGTTGGCTGAAATTCTGAAATGCGTTTTCGATTAGGAAGGATTACTTGGTCGCGGTTGTGACATTGATTATCTTAAGGTATACTCTTATAACATTTTGGACTTGGCTGGATGTTGGCTTTTAAATGCAATTCTTTTCAATCTCCTGTAGAAAGCGTGTTCGGTAAAAAATGACTACTTAAGTAGCATGCATTTTTCCTATTGATTTTCGATGGTCTTGGAAATTCAAATATATTTTAGAGAAACCACAAACAAAAATAGGCTTTTTTTAGTCAATCAATAGAGAATCACGTCTTCTTTATATTTTATGCTTAAGGAAGGAGTATAATTAGGTTTAAAAAAAGTTTCTAATTATGAGACTTTTTAAGACCGCGATATGTCCATTCACATAGCATCGTACCTGGCCGTTTACCACTGCTCCTCATGAAATATACAACATGGTCCGCATCCATTGCAAAATTTTATGGACCCTGTTTCATATCTATTTTATGACATAGAAAAATATGGGATTTTCTTTACGCGGAACGCATGCACCTTGTAGAGTGTAATCACTAAGCGCTAATGCAACGAATGATCAGGCTCCAAATTTTTCGGCAATTAAAAAAATTTTTTAAAACCTTATTATACTCCTTTCTTAAGTATAAAATATAAAGAAGACGTGATTCTCTATTGATTGACTGAAAGAAAGCATATTTTTGTTTATGTTTTCTATAAAATATATTTGAATTTCCAAGACCATCGAAAATCAATGGGAAAAATGCATGCTACTTAAGTAGTCATTTTTTACCGAGCGCGCTTTCTACAGGAGATTGAAAAGAAGTACATTTAAAATCCGACATCCAGCCGAGTCAAAAATGTTATAAGAGTATACCTTAAGATAATCAGTATCACAACCGCGACCAATTAATCATTCCTAATCGAAAACGCATTTCAGAATTTCAGCCAACATTTCATCAGATAGGTCACGCACTGTATATCCCATGTTAAAGAAAATGATTCGAATTGAATGTGATTTTCTCCAACTGAAATGTAGACCATGTATAGCGACGAAATACAAAAAGGCGCAAAGACCTTAGAAGGCAGAATTAAACATTGGTTTAAATTACACATGGAACCACCGTTTGAGGGCCTTACTGTTAAACTCTGTAAGGGATGTTTTACCGCATTCTAAATATTTTGTTAATACGCGCTGCCTAAATGTGTATCTTTAGAGATTTGAGTATGAACAATAACAATAAGAAAAATGTTCTGGCCGTAATTAGCGCAGCCGTCCCTGTTTAGAAAAATTTCGAAGCCCTTAGAGAACCCCGGTAACCAAGTCGTGTGCGGCAGCCCAGATGGCTTTCCGGCGTCCATTTCGCATTATAACGACTGTTAATATTCACGCAGTCGCATAAAAGCGCTAATTAGATACGTGTTATTTTTTCCAAGAACATTTTTATAAAACGTCCTTTATGTTAGTAGGTACGGCTTGCGGTAACCGCGATTTTTAACAAGTAAGTCGTCTGTTTGAATCAAACAGCATTTATGCTGTCGCTGAAGGCAGTAAAATATTTTGAAATGCTATGCAATTGTTAGGATTTTTTACACAGTATATGTTTTTATAAAATGTGTTTACTTAAGACAGCTTCCTAAATTTACTACTGTTTAATTCCCCATGAATCCGCCTCACTTTCAAACTATGGATGGTTTTGTAATTGGAAAGCCATCTAATTTGGTGAGACTTTCGGCAGTTTAAAGTAGGTCGATCGATTTTGCGTGTGATTGTAAAAAGAGTCAATGCTTGGTCAATAAATTATATCCGATAGTGAGGACGGTAAAACGACCGTTGTTTCATAATTATAAAACAGCCTATTGTAACAGTGTTTCGTAGCCCATATTACGGGACTTTAACGTAATTTAAAAACTAATTTTTGTTTATTTCGAGGTGTTTATCCCACGGCCGGTGAGGGGATCAGAGCCCGAGAAGTGGCATAGAATTATGAATTTATGTCAATTATCGCCCTGAGTGAAATATGCTTAGTGAGGTTTGTTACTAGCATAATTGGATGTTACTTTGAAGTTTTAAAACTAACTGGGGGTCACGTAGAATTTTAACTCTAGACAGTGAGACCGCGACGTGGGTGGTCTTTTACTTGTGGAACAGTCACATTTTCTCACTGTTACTGTATGATAATATGTCGAGCCATTTCTTGGTAACATCGTGTTTGCGCTAAAATTTGTCATAACTTTCGAACCACTAGCCCCAAGGTAGGTGGTCTTAAATTTCAAAATTGATTGTAACATTGAGTTAAATACTCACATTTCGCGCTAATCTAGAGACCTTGAAAAGTAACAGTTCCCTTCAAACTGTCGGCCAAACATTTATTGCGAAAGACTTTAGTCGGAGGGCAAAGAGACTTACACGTTCTGCATAGTAACGCAGAGAAAACAAAATCCGATCCGTCTGACCTTTCGGATCCTGCTTTGAAGCCGTCAACGCGTATAGGAATCTGCATGCGGAAGAACTGGGGAAAATACAGGATGCAAATGCCGCATACCTGCATTGCTGCCACTGATTTATTTCGGTTATTATTGTATTTGTCTATTCGTGTAATACTGCGGGGTCTAAGGACGCTGCACTGACCTCTCCCTTAGCAATTTAAAAAGCTTTCGATGCTCTGTACTCTTCTTGATTTCCAAAATATCCGGGTAATTTCGACTTAACTGCATGGTGGTTTGGAATAACTTCCTCGCCTACAACTCATATAATAGGTTCATTCAATGCGCACTTACCCTGACCCTTGTCTATGATCAGGTAATACTGCAGCTCTTTTTTGTCCTGAGCAATTCCTTTCAGAGTCGATGAAGCTCCGTTTTTATCTTTATACGATCAAGAATTAAGTTAAACCATCAAATTCCGCTAGTTTCTCGTGCGACTGAAGCCTTGCGAGTGATTGATAGAAACCACATCGCTCATCAGTCAGGGGGACTTCGGTTTTCGCCTTTTGGACGCAACTTCAATATATACCATCCTGGTTTGCTTCTCGAGTCGTTCATGAATAGAAAAGTTAACTACTGACTGACAACGACCATGACTGCATGAGGGTAAAGAGCGACAGCCTCCAATTTGAACGGTACTTTACCGTACAATGGTATAGTATGCTAGCAAATAATGAACATGTCCAAAAGATGCCATTTGCACAATTCGACATTCTGACCGTCTAACCGTGTGCTACACGTCAAGGTGAAACAGGCACAGTGACCTGTGCGTGAATTAGTTTATGGTGGGAGTGGACTCGCACAGCATCTACCACGCGCTCTCCGCCCCCGCCCCCCCCCAGCGGGACCAGGTGTCAAGATCCAGTCAAGAAGACCGGGGAGTAGAGAGGGCGCAAATGACTGGCACGGCCGACCCGCACTTAGGCGTACCAACGCACCTCCTGGCCCACAACAAACACTTGACCAGAATCTTCCCCAAAAATAAACGGGTCAGAAAGAGGAGGATGGTTGGGCAGCCACGCACACGACCTGAATACCCAGCGGGAGCGCAGGCTCTTTCACCGGTAGGCAACTTGGTTCGAGGAAGGTGCCAGCGAACACCAGGCTGCGAATCATGACATAGCAGACGCATGTAATCCTTAAGGCCCAGAAGTGTGCGAGGCAGCCTTGCACTTAGCCTAGACCATCAACCTTTAAAGACCGGGTAAACAGTCAGTCATGAACCAAAAGACGTCGGGCATCATCCTATTGGTGGGTGGAGTGCGTGATCTGGTGGTGGTGGTGGTGGTGGTGGTGGTGGTGGTGGTGGTGGTGGTGGTGGTGGTGGTAAAACTGCTTGCTGTGGTTGACGCAAGGGTTGCGGCAGGGTGGATGGTGTCAGTGGTTGATGGCGGCGAGGCAGCGCGGGGCAACGGCTCTCTGATCAATGCTGACTGGGGTTGTGGTCGGTGCGAGGTTTGCGACAGGGCGAGAGAGGAGGGAGAATTAGACGTTGTCGGGTTGTAGGCACATTGGACCCGAAGGTGTTCCACGAGACCGATTCGTGCACGGAATGGGCGTTGGCAGTGTGAGCATGTTGGAAGCGGTTGGGTTTTGGCATTGATGGGGCTTTTGAGAAGATCACTGTCAGTTTTGTAGGCGACGCATATCCTGGGGCGTTCTTCACAGTAGGCGTCCAACAGCATGGCAGAGGACGTGAGAGTGAAGAGGGTGGAAGCGGGTACGCTGCCCTGCTTCAGGATCAAATGTTGGCGTGCTTTGTCTTGGAAGGAGTTCTTATGAATTGCTACTGAGGCAAGTCGTCACCGCTGATCGCGCAACGCCCCCTGTGACGAGAGTTCGTTTAACTAAGTATAAGAAACGGGTTATTCCTCTTAGTTACACAAATTAATAATGTCAAAAAACCTCCATTTCAAAATTTACCACGGTTGATGTAGGCCCACAGCCGTTTAAATCTAAAACGAAAAACTTACGACCTACGAGGAAATTCATTTAACGAGCTTTCAAGGTCCTTACTGTTAAACTTTGAAAGGGGTGTTTTAGCTCATTCTCGATGTTTTGCTGATATGCGCTGCCTAAATGTGTATTTTTAGGGATTTTAGTGTGAACTATAACAATAAGAAAATGTTCTGGCCGTAAATTAGCGCAGCCGTCCCTGTTTAGAAAATTTCGAAGCCCTTAGAGAAGCCCGGTGACCAAATTGTGTGCGGCAGCATAGATGGCCTGTTTAGTCTTGTCAGCCACTGCGCCAGAGCCCACCCCCGGTCGCCTTCGCATTGTCCTACCATAGGAGCCTTTTGGTCGAGGGAAGTAAAATACCGATAAATGCACGGTGTAAGACTGCCTCGCTGGTAAACTAAGTCCCGCGCGAATCACCGGCACTGCGCCCACAGCGTGAGACATGCGGTGGACATCGTCCCTTGGCAAGTTCTAGCACCCTGATCTACAAGGACAATGAACGGCAGCTACTAATGTACTTCGGTTCGAGTAAACACCTGTCATCTGCCTGATGGACTTGGCTTTATATTCCCCGTGTTGCATGTGTACGTATGTTTTTGCTTCTGATCCCAGATTATAGTCCGAGTTATGATTGATTAGTTGAAGGTAGATTGTGCCCGAAGCAGGGCTGTCATTTTCTGCCAGTCCCCATTACATGATCGATTTTTGGAAGGACGTAGGATGTCAGAGATTGGTTTTCCATATGTTATTTGCGTGTGAAAAAGTAATTCTTATAAACTGAGCCGGAGTTGGGTATTTTTTGAATGATCTGCCATAATTGCATAATGTCACCCGCCAGAGTTTTCTGTCTTCAAACCCAAGCGGCTGTAGAAGAATATGCCACACGTGAGACCAAGGGAATTATCTGTCTGATCATGCCCTCCTTTAAATTGCCTGTAACACATCGCGCGATGATTTTAGCTGTCTCAGACTTCGGGGTCATTTTCGGTGTAGTTAAACAATGCCTACCACTTCAGTCCCAATGGAGTTTGGTCTAGGAACTTTGTTTTCTTTCCATTCGTTTCTTTTCCTTAACTGCCTTTTTTTCCGAATAAAGTTCCCACATAGCCCATTCTACATCAAGCATTTGCAAATATTTTTTAGGTTGTCTAAAGTTAATTTTTTTATACGATCGCTCACTCATTTTGTAGGAAATTTTGTATTATTTTAATTTTCCATGACGCTCTTTGGAAAGGTAAAGTCACTGGTCAGAGTGTAGGAGCGCCTTCCGCAGGCGGTAAACACTTCGGAAAATGAGCCGTAAGAGAATCGACCAGAAGATCTTTTGATGTGCCTTTATCGTTGGCAGAACC